CTCGCGGGGTACTCGGAAGTGAACCGTCCTCGAGCGGATTTAGCAGCGTTGAAAAACCGAACCGGGTTGTTCCGTGACGTCGAACGATAAATGGAGAAATGTGTATACGAACGGGAAAAATGGGGAACGCCGTGTCGGGGCACTTTACGGCGTAATGTGCGGAGCACGAAAAGGATTAGTCTGTCAGTCGAGCGGCGAAACAGCGAAAGCGGATTAGCGGCGGCGAATCGCGTGATAAGTCGAAGGTCGTGCCGGACCTGGCCCGGAGGGCTCGAAGCGCAGCTGTGCTATCGGCGTAATTTATGCTTCGTAATATACCGCGGGACAAACATAATCGACGCTGCGCCGTACACGGGAACGTTGCTGATTCCGAGGCATCGGGAACGCCTTCGACTCGCGTGATTTATTCCTTTTGTGCGATCGGATATGACGAATTGGAGGCAGCGATGCCAGAATCAAGACGCGGCTCCGAAGGAAATGGACGGGATATGTACACAAAGAGAAACCACGTCGACGCACGGAGAAAAAGATTTCTTTGGATTTCATAAAAAACTGCCTTAATTCAAACAGATCTGTCTTTTGGAGCGGAGCATGCAAATGAATGTTTGACTTAACAAACAGGTTTGGTTTCTCAAACGATAAATATCTTTACGTCGAATAACATATTTCTTTTATATTTTCTTCGAAACTTTACAATGATTCAGTCACAAGCGATAAATTATTTGGAAGAAGTAACACTATGTTGGAAAAATATTTAAAAACCTTCTTATTGTTTCAGTGGAATAATATTTAATATATAATGAAATAATTTTTTTTATCGAAAACGAAATATTATTTCCTCCGAATAATACTGGTTTTTTTTTCCTATCAAACAACGTGGTTTGCTCTAACGAAACAACATTTTCATTCAAACAAAATAGTATTTGGTATTAATTAAATTTATTATATTGATATTATTAAAATTATGTTATTTATATCAAAGCTAAGTCAAACAAATACGTACGCTAAATTCAAAGGAACTTTTTCCTGTGCGCACACAACTGAAAACAGCTGAAGCACGACATGGCTACTCTTTGTGTGTGTGTATGTGTCCCTATCATTTCCTCTTTGGTTCGACCGCGTTTTGATCTTGGCATTTCTGATTTGAAGTAGCGCTCGCGTGAAGAATAATTCGTCCGGCGATATCCGGCGAGATAGAGCACGACCGATGCGGAATCGCCGCATTCGGCGGAAGGGGACGCGGCGAGGGATGATCGAGTGCAGTCTACGTGTCGTTGATTCGTTCGATATTTCCGCGCGCGCGGAATCTGGCATCAATTTTACATAGAGTACCGGCTATTCCGCTTCTAATTCAATTCACGTAAAGAAAGACACGACCGTCTCTGATCCTTGTGTTGCCGAATTGGCGTACGCATGCATGCACGTACGCACGCATATTCGCGTGGAGCATGAAAGTGGCGAACGGGAGAGAGAAGGGGAGCGGGGAAGGGAGAGAGAGAGAAAGAAAATATATTTGTTTTATGCACGCGTAACACGCGTAACATATATAATTTTAGACTTGAGACGAACGCGATGAGACGAGGCGTACTCTCTCTTTCTCGAAAGGAATCGTTCCGGTTTCCGGTGTGAGAAATCGAGACGTCCGTCTCGTCGGAACGCATCGCGAGATTAATTTCTTCCGAATTCGAATTTAAAGCAACTACGCGGGGAAAATATTGTGGTAAAACTGCCGCAAAATTTTATGCAATCAATGCTGGATCATACTGGAATTATGATTGAAATTATCACATGTGTTGTCACATCTTTAATGATGTGTATCATGTGTATACAACATTAAAGATTACAACACACGTGATAATTTCAGTCATAATTCCCGTATGGTCCGGCATTACATTAGATTTTGCGGGTTTTACTGCAATACTTTTTTTCCGTGTAAGATGTGAGTCCTTTTGTCACGCGGGAGGGGAACGAAATCCGTCGAAGCGCGAGAAAAAAAGGAACAGGCTCTCGTTAGCGTTAATGCATTTTCAATCCTAAACAGTATAATGATTATTACGACAGTCCTGAGGGCGTTAGACTACACGTACACCTACACAAACACACACATACACCTACACTGAACCTTCTGAAAAGAAAATTATCTTTTTACTTTAACAAAAGCTTAATTTCCAAACGGATGGCTTTCGAAACTTTTATT